TAGACAGATAGATAGATAGATAGATAGATAGATAGATAGATAGATAGATAGATAGAGAGAGAGAGAGAGAGAGAGAGAAAGAGAGAGAGTCATACAGATATAAAGACACATACAAATTAGCAGACCTCAGGGAGACATAGATATGACTAGTTAGAAGGACAGGCGTTTAGAAAGAAAGAGAGGATGAGAGAAATAAAGATAAGGAGAGAGGGATGGAGAGAAAGAAAGAAAGATGAAAGAAAGATGAAAGAAAGATGATGAAAGATGAGCAGAGAAAGAAAGAAAGAGGAAAGGAGAACAGCCGTATTATGCATGTAGACTGCTCTAACAGCCAGTTATTTCAGATATCAAGGACACCGATATAATTATTAAAATGAAGACTTGATTTCCTAACGTTATTGGCATGAAGCGGCGATCAGTTTGAAACTTATTTAAAAGAGGTGCTATATTGACCGCATCCAAAAACTGGTCTAAAGGCATATTCATCTAAAATCATATTTTGCCAGTTAGTTTGAGCCTTTTTCCAATTTCAAGTGTGATCAAAAGCCACAGCATGTGTTCTTTTTGTCAGGTTTACCTGTACTATTGTAGGCAACATTGCATTGCATAATAATATTTCATTGTTATCTAAATTTCACCCCAGAGGAGAAATTAACGCTCCCAAACTGTATTTAAATCTGTCTGCCTTTCCAGGTTTTTTGATGACGATGAAACACAAGCACCACCTTCAAATGATGAACATGAAACGAGCTAAAAAGAAAGCGGAGTTGAAATCGGCAAAGTTGCAGACACTTTTGTCTGAAGTGAGGGTGAGTAGTCTATGACGTCATTTGTGTACCTGTAACCAGTCAGGTACTTTTCCCAGCTTTTGCTAATGGCTACCTTAGGATTACAGAGTTCCATTTCCTCAGTACCTAATTTTGAGAAATTTGACGTACAAAGTTTAGAGTTTCACAGCATGTCAAGTTTTTTCGAATGAAGTCCTTTGAATATCTTGGTGACAACTCCGAGCAATCTTATAATTTTTGATAGAACAGAGAGAACTTTTGGTTGTTGACCTTATGATCCCAATAGCCCAAAACGGCCAAAAATATCAGATAGAACTTTGTAAGTTTGAGATGGCATAATGCTCTCTCTCTCTCTCTCTCTCTCT